CATGTTGAGTAAAAAGGAAGCTAGATAGGAGAGGTTGTGGTCAGTGGTATGAGATAAAGCCTGGGATGGATTCTCAGTGACAGTCAGCCCTCTCTCCAGCTCCTGGTGCTATTCCTGCCCCTCTAAGAGACATAACAGCTTGATGTGGCCAAACACCACGAAGAGGCTCAGCCAGAACCCAGAAATAGGCATGTCCCTCTGTGTGTTCCCTTGCAGAGCCTTCTGAAGGCATGGATTCAGTTGAGAGACACACCCTGTCACTGGTGCTACGTAGCTATGAAGTCCAAATTATCTTCAAATTTACATGCCATATGGTGTTGCTTTGGTTACAGCGAGTGTATCCTCTTTAATTTCAAAGCAAACTGATTTTGTTTTGTTCAATTGACTGAATTTTATTAAATACATAGAAGCCAATTTAGTTTTACATTCATACAATAAGCTATTTTTGTGGACTCCTTGGCACAAATATAGCCCATTGTGAATTTGTAGTCAGCACAGCCCAACACTGGCCCAGAGCTTGCTGGACCCCCAGGTCTGCCTTTCACAGCCTGCTCAGCAGGTGAACCACTGAACTCTTTGACTAGAGATCTGTTTTTCAATCTTCCATTTATTGTTTCAATCGGTGATTCTATTATCTGGCTATCTTTGCTCTGGCTTGTGTAATACAATTATCACAAGGAATACATTTGCTCAAAGCACAGGAGTGACTCTAAGATCACCTCCTTCTAAGAGGTTTTTTGTTTTTGTTTTTTGTTTTTTTGCTGTGTTGAAGAATCTCAGGCTTGCAAAGCCTCTGGAATGTGCTGCCCAGACAGTACATTTACAGACCTAAGAGTGTCTCTCTCACCCATCCTGACTGAAATGCACTTAGTTTTTGCCTAAGCTGGTCTCACCTGAACATGTCCCAGCATATCAGAGTCTAGATAAACCAAAAAAAAAAACCCACTTTAAATATTGTTGTGCCCTTAAATAATCTTCACTATCCCATACTTTACATGCATCTCCACAGTGCACATTGTTGGTACTCTGGATCTGCCTTGACCCTCCTTCCTGGCTGAGCTGCTTGCTCTTTGTGGGCAGTGATGCACCACACTCACCTCCATGGAGAAACACAATGTCTGTTGTCTTACCTGAGACATTATCATTTTTCACCAGCAGTGTGTATCAAAGACACCCGGTGGTGTCTCACATGAACTTTCAATTTCCAGCTTCTCTTTGAAGACCTTCTCCTAGTCCCTTGAGAATCACAGGATGCTGACCTTACCTGTATTCTAGAAAATCCCATAATCCCTCATTTTGTCTTAAAATCTCCATGTTATTTAGTGATGGAGTGGGATGCCCTGCTTTATTCAGGGTTCACTGGCATAGGAAGCATAGTTGACCAGCATTCAGCATCCAAATTTTAATAATACTCAAGATAGTGTGTTTCTAGGAGGATTTGATGGTCCAGGGTGAGATGGAACCTCTGAAAGCTGTTTATTACAAGCCTGTAAGGGAATCATGCATTCTTGTAATGTGTAAAATATGTAAAATAACATCGTTGCCTATTGTTAGTTAATCAGTGTCCTGTCCTGATTTGGTTCATCTTAGAGATGGAGTAGGGTCCTGTTAATGCAGCATCAGTAGCATTTTGTGTGCATGTGTGTAGGGCATACATCTGTGCACATGTTTCCTTGTTTGTGTGCACACATGTATAGAAGACAGAGGGCCATGTCAAGTATTGTTTTTTATTGCTCCCCAACTCCTTTTTTTATAGGGATCCCTCTGTCTTTGTCTCCCTGATATAATAGTTGCAGGTACATGCTTCTAAATTTGGATTTGGTGGTGGGTGGGTTGCCAGTGACCCTAACTCAAGTTCTCATGATTGAATAGCAAGTATTTTACCAACTGAGTCATCACCCAGACATTTCAACAGCCCTGTCACCAGCATTTTAAGCACCCTACACTGTCTTATTTCCAGAAGTGGATTTTGTGGTTGATGACACAGAGTGGAGGATTCATGTGAGCAACGAGAAAAGTTGGAAGTGTGAAGGACATTCAAGGTAGTGGGAATAACAGAATAAAGGCTGTCAGTAAATCTGCTGACAAGTGTTCTGAGCTGGGATACTTCAAACAGTGTGGGGCATAGGGTTGACCTAACCATTGCTGTCTGCCAAGCTTGGTTTCCTTGATGTCCCCTCTCTCCAGCACCAAATCTAAGACCTTGCTTTGAATGAGCTTATAACGGGAATAAAAATGCTTATCCATTGTGCACCCCTCATTTTCCCCATACTCATGTGCATATGAGCAGCACTGATCAAACTCAGTAGGTTAATATGAGGGAGAGAAAAGAGGAAGGGAGTGATTAGCTGGACTGCAACCTGTATATAAATTGGATTTACTAGAATGATTTACCAGCTGTGGTCCAGCTAATCCAACAATGGCTGGCTGTGAATGGGAGGTCCAAGAATACAGCAGGTTCTCAGTCCACAAGGCTGGATGTCTCAGCTAGTCTTTTGCACGTGCTGGATTCCCTAAGAAGCAGGGTCTATTTCCAGTGAAGGGTGTGCTAGCAAGAAAAGAGCAAGCAGGCGAAGAGCAAAAGCTTTCTCCTTCTATGTTATATAGACGTCCAGCAGAATGTGTGGCCCAGATTGAAGGTGTGTCTTCCCACATAAAGATATGGACAAAGCTGCATATTTTTCTGTCTCAAAAGAGACTAGAAGTGGATTCACCCACTTCAAATCATACAAAACACACACACACACACACACACACACACACACACACACACACACACACACACACGTGTGTCCTCCATTTCTGTATTGTAGTTCATTCCAGATATGGCCAAGTTGGCCACCAGGAATAGCTATCCCACAGCCTCATGGGTTTGGCTTGTTCACTTGATCCCACCATCACCATGGCCACACCAGTCTTCGCAGCCTGAAAAAACCTTGTTTCATGTTTAAACGCTGGCAGCTCTCAGGGTCATCCTGAGAGAACCCAAAGACATCCCTTCCTCTGGGTCCTACTGCTCATGAGGTTAGGAAAATGTTCATGCTGGGGTTCAGCCCCCACCACAAGTCCTGGGTCTTTTGGGCAGGACAAGACTACTCATTCCCTGTGCCTCATTAAAGAGACCCCTCTGTACCCAGCCACTCTAGCATTCACAATGTTCAATGTGGAAGGAGCTTAGAAACAACTTTACCAGGTGTTTTGAAGAAATTTTCTAATTAATTGGAAAATCATGCATCAGCTATTCTGGAAATATTACAAGGTCCCAAGTCAGTGTAAACATGTAATTTATTTGGGGAATTTTTCTTTCTTCCTGAGGATCATCAAAGGGTGCTCTCTTTCCAACACTATAGATGGATAATATGTCAGTATCTTCACCAATGGAGATATATGGGTCTAAACGTGTAGCTACTAAAAGAGCCGTATTCATATTACATCATGAGAGCCTGGAGGTTGGTTACTGTGTTCCAGATAGTTTGAAAACAGTAAGAAAATAATTTTCTGTGGAGGACGGCAGTAAGGGGAGGATGGAGATAAGAGTAGGATGAGCCTGGAGCGCAAATTCTCAGATTCTTCAAACCTGCTGTTTGTGTGGAGGTTGACTGTCCAATTTCACCTTCTGGCTTGTGTTTGTATTCTAAACATCACCTCAGGAAATGTACCTTGTCTAATGGTGGAGAAAACGTCCTTTTGTGTGCAAGGGGCTGGTAAAAGTCAGAGCAAAGTACACTGGAACCTCCAGGTTCCAACTTAGTGAAGGGGTCCACGCCTTTGCTTTTAGCTCGCAGGATCTTTTACGTTTGAGCCTTTCCTGCCATCTGTGTGCACCAAAGGCACAAATATAGCTAATAAGAATTGTTCTCCTGTACTAGGGGCACATGTACAGAGATAATGAGAGTCATTTCATGTATGCTGAAGGACAGTGCCTGTGCCAATGCGTGAAACCTCCCTAAAGCAAAGGTGTGAGGCATGCAGAAAGGTCACACGACTTTGAAATGCTATGCTGACATTTTCTGCAACTATTATTTTTGTGTTTGTTATTCACAACCTGTCCTTGCTATCCTGGATTCCTATCCTGGGAGAGAAGCCTCATTCTGTGCAGAGCATTTAATATTTGCCCATCCACACTGCAGATCCAGAAAGAGATATTCATTGTGGATCCTTCTGGTAGCACAGGAAAACCTCTTGAGATTCACTGTGTGGGCAAACGTTACTGCAGTGTCCTCTGGAGGCAAAAGCAACTTATTCCAGTGCTGGCGAGATGACTCAGCAGTGAAAGCACTTGCTGCCAAGTCTGACCACCTGGGTTTGATCCTTAGAAGCTACAGGGTCAAAGGAGAGAACTGACCAGTTGTCCTCTGGTCCCAACATGTTCAAGTCACCCATCCTGTGTGCCCCCCACAAGTAAATACTTTTAAAATGATGAGTTTTTATCAGTATATATATCCTTTAAGTTATATTTTCCAGTGCTATGAGAGAAACAGCATCTGGAATGTTCTCCTGACCCACCAGTCATAAAACACAAAGGCCTTTAGCAAGAAGCTAGCTCTAATATCCCAACTCTAGATTCTGAGACACCTGCATTTTATCGAGTGGTTTGGTGCCCTGTCACATGTGAATTAAAAAGGGAGATGACTAAGTCAATTGTTCCTGTCATAGATGTGTGATTGTCACTCATGTGTGACACGGAAGACAGTGAGCGCTAAGGTGAGAACTCTGGGGACATTGGTTAGTAAGTGGAGCTAGAGATCAACAGTCTGGCCCAGATGTTGATCCAGATGTATTTGCTGAGGGGGTGTGGAGCCTCTGTGATAGGTTAGTGGTATGATGTCTATTAAGCACTAAGACAGACCACCGGGAAGTCCAGTCATGAAAATATCTTTAACATCCTTTGAGGGCAACAGAATCTGCAAAGGCCACTGTCATGTGGCACAGAGGATATTTGGTTTCAAGTAATCCACATCTGGGGAGCATACCTATTTTAAAAGCCACCCACGATCATCTCCTTTTTATTCACTTTTTACTTCTTTTGTTCCTGTTTCCAGTATTTATTACCATAACATATATACCAAGATGCATTGTGTTGGGGGCCAGGGGTATGGGACAGTGCAGGACTTAAGATACAGCTATGTGTTAGCTTAGGTTGTAAAAGTTGATTAGGTTGGAAATCCAAGGCAAGTAAGGTTGGCTGCTATATGTTCCTCTTAGAGGCAGGATAAATGATCAGGCTGAGTACAGAGTTGGATAGCAGTCAAGTCTAAAGAGACCTCAGGTGTATTATTAACTCTGGTTGTGGGGTTCAGCAAAGGTGCCATTCTCTAAGGATGTTAGAGATGTTTTCATAATGGTGAATTGTCGCTGCATGGACTTTCATCTCCATAACTTCCCAAAGACGCATGGCTCATTTAAGTGGTAGTTCATCTGGCGCTGCAAGGGTTCATCTTTCCCATTCCAGGATGTTTAGTGACATTCCAAGCATCTAGTCGGTACCTGTGTTATAGTGACAGGAAAAAAAAAAGTGTGTGCAGAGATTACCAAAATGTCCCTGGGAGCAATACTGTCACCAACTGATAACCAGGGTCCACAGTACAGTGACAACTTCTCTACAGGGGGTTAATGACTGGAGTTGCCAGGAATGGGATACCCCATGTCACTAATGTAGCACTTTGGGTACAGTTTCCACATGGCTGGCCTGTAAGAAAAGGGGGTGAGGAGACCAGGGTTCCTCCCATCATGCTTGGGTCAGCTGGATTATGTAACACTGATCAGATGAGCACCAGGAAAGCAGACACAGAGTAGCTGCTCAGATCTCGTATTGACCAGTGTAGGGTCTCACTCCTGGGCTCTAATACTTCATGGAGAATTTTTTAACATAAATTTTTGTTGATTTTGGGGGGTAATTTCACATCATGCACCCCAGTTCTGCTCATCGCCCAGGCCTCCCATATCTACCCCTCATCCTTGCAGTGTCCCCGAAAAGAAAATTAAAAATATTAAAACCAACCAACCAAACAAAACCTCTTCACTCCTCCATCTTGCCCGCCTTTCCACCACCTCTTCATTCCTCTTAGTGCAGTGGGAGCCTCAGTGTGCCACACAGTATACCATTCAACCTTACTTGCAAATATTCATTGCAATGAGTCATTGGTATGGTTCAAGGCCTCTGGTTTCTGATACACCATCACCACTGGGCCCTTCCTGAAATCCTCTCTAATATTCCATGGCTGGCTGAGTCATGGAGAATCTGCTTTGATGGGGTAGATGTTAGGGTGGGCCAACCCAAGGCCCTGGATGTGGGCCTGGGTGGCAACTGAGCTGGTCACTCCACGCCATTGGGGCAACCCCAGTTCTGTTACAACTGAGGGCTATGTGGTCAGCCACCTGAGACCATGTTGGTGCCCAAGGGCCACACTACAGTTAGGGTAGTACAGATCTGAGTTGCCTGTGCTGCTGCCTGGTGCCGTGGTGAATAGAAGGTATTCCACATTGCTAGAGTCTCTCACAAAACCCTCTTGCTGTAATTGGGCCAATCAACGGTGTTGTTAGTGGCGGAACATGCTGACTGATTCCCATTTACCCAAAAAATCCTCACATGTCCTACACTGAGTGTTGAAAGCAGGGTAGCCCCCCGGCCACTATGAGGCAGAAATGAGAGATTTCTATTCCATTTAGTCACCTGTATGCTTGCTCCATCATCTGGAGAATAAAGAGATTTAAATGTTCCTTAGAGTCAAGTCTCCTTGGAGATGCTCAATTTTGATATTTCCCCAGACATAGTTTTCAAGTGTTCCTGTGCCTTTGTGTCTGGTCTCATGATGAGAGATATCAAAGGGAAAATTACTAGCTTTAATAAATAAAATATAAACATATACTTTTTATCACCCACTCTCTCATGCCGAGGCTCAGTCTGTTGGAAATTATGAAATATATTTCTTGTCTATCATTCCAGATACCACAGAAAAGCTGAAGGTTCTTCGATTTTTGGATAGAAACACCATTCATGTTCATTTGGCTGGCTGTCTTCTTGAGACAGGATCTCATATAGTCCAAGATGGCTTCTCACTCAGTAGTTACTCAGGCTGGGCTTGAAGTCCTGATACTTTTGCCTCAGTTCCAAAGTGCTGGGATTCTAAGTGTGTGCTACCACACTCTGACATGTTTTATTGTTTATCTATATTTTATTAGCTGAGTGTTGATTCCACAACCAGTGTGCATAAGGTAAATGCTGCACCTTAATTTCTATTTTGAGGCAGACGGTCATTAAGGTGCCTGGATTCACTTTGTACCTGTTCTGCTGCTATGTAGTGTAAGGTGGTCTCTAACTCAAAATCTTCCTGTTACTTTGTCCTAGTATCTTGGGATGCAGGCATATAAGGGTGCCACCTCACGTGGATTATTTTTTGTCTGCCTATTTATCATCTATGCTTATAACAATATCATCTATTATATTCTATTATCTGTCATTTACCTACCATCTGTCATCTCTCTATAGTCTATTACTCTTCTGTCTCATTCACTTATCTGTCATCTACCTGCCTGTCATTCTTTTATCATCTATCTATCTATCTATCTATCTATCTTTCTATCTATCTATCTATCTTCTACCTATCATCTACTATCATATCTATCATCTATCTCTATCTGTCATCTATCTCTAATCTACCTATATACTTGTATCTATCTATAATCTATCTATAATCTATTTCTGTCATCTATCTATAATCTACCTATCTACATCTATCTATCTACCTTCCTGTTATGTCTGCTTATCTGTCATCCATCTGTCTATCTTCTTACCTCTCTCTCCATCCATCTCCTTTCCACACCCCTTTCTGACATCTTCATGCATGTATAGTATGCACAGCGAACTTATTCTCTCGGTTATCCTACTTTATGCTCTTACAACTTTCCAGTAATCTTCCTTTTGCCTTCAAAAGTTGTATGCTCTCCCTCATGTGCAGAATCTATGGAGAGAAGACAGGTTTACCCTATTTTGTGAACTCATCTATTCAAGTTGCTTCAGGATTCTGCATAGGGAAGGTTTCCAGGTGTCTTTTCTTGTCCTTTTTGAGTTTCAGATTCTTAAAGATGTTATTTCTCTGACGGTGGCTTAAACCTTAACAGTGTAATTACTTTAAATTTGGCATGACTGATACAAACTCTCACAAAAGATACTCCTCCTACTTGATAATGATACTTGGTGGATGGAATAGATGCGACATTGTGAGGACACTGACACCACCTACAAAACATCATAAGTGCTTCTTCCTCTCACCAGCCTCTCCTCTTCCCAGCCTGGTCTACCCCCTCTGCCCTAGCCCCTGCCCTGCCTCAGCCTCTCCTAACATCTGTCTATACCTAGATACCCCCTGCCCTAGTCACTTCATCTCTCTCCAGGGGGTCTTCCTCTGGAGGTCCAATGCACTCCTGAACACCTACCCTGAAGCCCCTCTTCTGCTTCTAGCACCTAAGGGTTCTTGCCACTTGCAAAGCATAACTAGAACTCTTTCACAAGACACTGGGAGCCCTAACTGCTCCTCCTTCCTTGGCAATCTTTGTTGTCCTCACCCTGGGTTCTCATTTCGTTGACCTGTTACCCTGTGCACAGCATGCATGATTGACCTTGTATCACTTCATATGTGCCCCTGCATGTTCTCGGGACATGGTCATTGCTTGCCAACTAGGCTCATTCTCACTTATGTGCCTGCTCTCATAATGGAGCATTGCTCCTCCTCCTCAGCTTTTCCTCCTGGTACCTGCCTACTACCTCCACATTTATAAGCATCTTACACCCATGCCTCAGTTCAGTTGCTCTGCCTCCGTGCTGTAGCTGTATTGTAGCTGGATCTCATCTTGTCTCTGCCCTGGGTACCTAATCTATCCCTGCTGGGTTTCCTGGAGGAGACCTTTGTCTTTGTATCCTCTGCTTGGTAATGGTATGCCTGCATGTGGTAATCGATGCCTCTGTGTGTGTCAAGCAAAGGGAATTAATCAGCAACCTTAAAATGAAAGGCTCCTGGCAAGCAGGGATAATACATTAGTATACATTAAGCATCTTTCATGCAAATGTGAGCTACAATGCCTGCTCTGGCACCTGACAACTTCCGGTATGAAGTTTACAGCTGGTGACTGTCTCCCCTCATGAAGAAAGGTTCAGATAAGGTGACCCTGTGTCAGAACTGTGATTATGTTCTGGGACAAGAATCACTGTCTTCCCTGAAACGTCATGTGCTCCCATGTAGCTTTGTAAACACCTGGGGATACAATGTCCAGGTCCAGGTGATTTCCATTATGACAGCGATCAGGTGTGGATGAGGCAACCTTCCACCACTGGTGTTTGACTCCAAGCCATAACGCCACATTTATTTTAACAGGTATATGAACCAAGGCATGCAGGAAGATGTGTCCACAGCAGAGCGCTCTCTGAACAAGGAGAGACTTGCAGTTCTGAAACACGCTCTGAATGTAGTTGGCTTCAGCAGCTGGGTGAGTGTCCTTGTCGGGGTTTCACACAGAAAACCAGCCTCCAACAATTTAGAAAGATTCACTCATCCTGAACCATCCCCTCAGCCTGGCTTGATGTAGCCCATTGGTTGTTATGCACCCTGACAATGTTCCAGCAGAAAACAGGCTTCCATCAGTTCTCCTGGGGATTACTGTCCAGTAGGGGTGGGAGACAAATAGGGTGGTGGGTACCAGGAAGGCAGATACTAGACAACTCACAGTAACAAGACATAATTGCTATTTCCTTTCTTTTCTTTTTAATTTTATGTGTGTGGGTGTTTTGCTTGCATGCAGTGCCCATGGAGGACAGAAGAGGGCATTGGATCCCTTAGCACAGGAGTTACTTACAGTTATAAGATGCCTGGTGGGTGCAAAAAATCAAACTCAGTTCCTCCACAAGAGCAGCCAGTGCTCCTAACCACTGAGCCATCTCTCCAGCCCCGCTATTTTCAATAGAAATAGAAAACCCCTTCACATATGTATCTAGAACAAGCCACATAATTGTGTTGACTGACTCTTGAGGAACCTGGCCAGTGTGAAGAAACTGTGTACTGCTAAACCATCACCTTTCAAACTAATGTAATCACTTTACTTAAATATCTCCTCTAGGAAGCTAGAGAATACAACGAAAGTTTTAGCCCACCTCTGTGCCACAGCAATTTCCAAGATAATGGGAAGGCCCGTGGCACATGCCAAACTGCCTAGAACTACTAGCCCTGTCTGGATACTGGTAGCTTAACACAGGGCTGATGAGACTGAAGAAATTAATTTTTCATATCTTAAAATATTAATTTAAGTTTAAATAGCCATGTGGTCAGAGGATACAGCTCTATTCAGGGCCAGTCCTGAGAATTAGACAAGAATGGTTGGGTCCGGGAGGATGCTCTCAGGAATCATTTCTGTTTTCCTGATGCATTATCTCTGCCCTCTCATTTTGGAAGTATTTCCGATTGTGGCCAAGTCCTCGGGAACAATTAACAAGATGTCACTGGGGACCCTGGTATGCCCACAGTTCTAGATCCCAAATGTAGTTCTTTGTTTTTCAGAAGGCTGTGTGTCACCCTTGCCCACAGTCTTAGCTAGGGGGGGCAGGAGGGGCAGGCAGGCGGAAGCACACAGGAAAGCTGGCAAATGACTCACCCTAAGTGGATTCACTGAGGCGCTTTGCTTGGCAGGACCCCATGCCTTTCAGAGCCTAGAGTTCCAGGAATGAGAGGTAGCCTGATGGTGCCTTGTTCTGTTTGGCCCAATTATCCAATGTCTACATTTCTTTCTTTTCCTGGCCCCGCCCACTTGCATGCTCTGATTTGCGCTGGCTTCTGTGATGTCCCTTTTCTTATCTCCCCTCCCCCACCAGGAGTTTCTAGATCCCATAGGGAACAGGAGCACAGACAGGGGCAGGAGACCATTTTACCAAAATACCATTCACTTGGAAACATAGCTTTGAAATTCCACACTTGATCCTCAAAGGCAGGGCAAGCAAAATTCACCTGCTGACTGCTGTAGCTGCTAGAGATGGGTGTGCATTTCAGCAAAAGGCCTGATGTCCATCCCTTTATCCTAAGCCTTTAAAGTAATGTGAGGAATAAAAATCATTCCACTTTGGAGTGATGGCCTCTGTCCATGACAAAGAACAGTATTTCCAGGCAGGTGTGGCCTTTGGAGCAAAACCTTCGAGGGTAAATTATGGGACTGTCCCACCTCTGCACCCCATCCCTAACAGCAGGCAAGCCGACAGGCAGGAGGGCAGGACTGCCCACTGCAGACAGAGGCAGGATCCCAGGGCTCGGCTCCCACAGAGAGGTTTTCCTGGTTCAAATCCACCACATTGTCCTGTGGGTTGTGGTGAATTTTCATAGCTCTGTCTCCCTCACTGAATCCAAAACCCCTGAGGGTAGCACAGATCCTTGCCTGTATGTCCCAAGGTGCCCACCTTGCAGAACACTGAAGGAGATTTATGGGCATCATTAAAGAGGTGGACATGTGTTGCTCCTTTTAAAAAGCTGGAGAAATGCTGTTCTATAACACAAGGGAGAGTCCAGTGGGAAATGCTGCTGTCTGCCATAATTGTGGGATACTATACCTAGGCAGTACTTGAGATGGATGTCTCCAGGCTCTCGTTTTAAAGATGGAAAAATGACAATTCCCAGTGTCAGGTCTTACTCCTTTGTACAGTTCCGGCCTTCCAGACCTTCTTCCGATGCTTCCTGTACCTTATGTGCAAGGAGAACTTGGGGCAGCAGGGGTGTTTCCTGTGGGAGCTTGAACTATGTCACTAAATTTTGGAATGATGATCACACAGAACCCTCTGATATGTGTGAGAACACAGCATCATTTTAATGCGCATTGAGTTGTGATTTGCTTCTGAGCCCACACGGGCAGTTTCGTGGAGTGCTGTGGGTCTGGAGAGTGGCGAGCCCACCACCAGCATGCCCGTGGTGCTTGTCTTTGCTTGTGACGAAGTCCTTTCTCTAAGCAGTTCTGCCCGTTCTCTGTAAACACCTAGGAGGTGGAGAACCTGTTTGTTATTCTAGCAGCGATATTGCACCTCGGAGACATCCAGTTCACAGCCCTGACGGAAGCTGACTCGGCCTTTGTCTCTGACCTCCAGCTTCTGGAACAAGGTCAGTGGAGCACCACCCCATGGGAACATCTTTGGTGTGAAATCCCATAAAGCAGCCAGCAGATGGAGACACAGTACAAAAAGCCAGCAGGAATAATGTCTTCCTAAGGCTCGTCATGGGGGGAGGGGAGAACCTCTTTCTTCTCTCTAACGGGCTAGGGGGTAGCTGATAAATGTGCTTTCATGTCCTTATTCTTCACACCACACTGACAGCATAGGGGTGTCCGTATATACTTCAGTTCATGTGGCATTATCTAAATACTGTCTGTCACTCTCCCCACAGTATTTGGAGACCAGGTCATCGGCTAAACATTGTAAACACAATTACTTCCCTTTAAATACCTCGTCCAAGATCCCACACTTCTTTGATATTGTCTTTCTAGCCACACCCACTTTTTGAAAATACCCTCCAACCAAGGAGTTTTCAATAAACAGCCTATTCCACCCATTTCAAAGTTATTTAATTAGAAATTTGGGGGGAAAACATCCAGCACCGTGGGGGCAATGGAGGCAGAAAATGTGTCATGAGTGAATCCACAGAGCCATGAGATCCCTTTCATGTCTGAGATACTGAAGAGTTTCTCTAGATGAGTTTGACCTGGAGAGCAGAGTCGCTTTCCTCCTTTTTAATGTGTCTACATGAAGGATGTATATAAAGTGTTCTTGGTGTCAAAATGCACAGTGATTTCGTATTTACAGGCTGTTTTGATTTCAGTGGCAGGCATGCTCCAAGTATCGACAGATGAGCTGGCATCCGCCTTAACAACCGATATTCAGTATCTTAAAGGTAAATCTTTGTGCAACCTGACTTTTCCCTTTCTACAGTTCCTGGGCCTCTTTCAAGTAGGGGAATTAAAGAAACTGTGCCTGTCTCCACATGGAGAAACTGTTTGTATGGATCAAGTGCCAAAGGAAAGCTTTGCAAGCCTGCCCACCTACACCCCCCCCTTTACTGTATGGGAACACTTCTGTACTCCTGGGAGATCATTCTGATTAACTAGCCCCCTTCCTAATCAACCTGTCAGTTCAGAAAAACAAAGCCATCAATCTAAGAGGATTTATTCTCGTAAAACATGGACCTTTTGTGGGGGTAGGACAGCCTTTTCTCCGCCTTTTCCGCTCATAATGGGAGCTGTCATTTATTGGGTGTTTATGCTTAGATGGCATAGTGCCAAGTGTTCTGAAAGTTGTCATTTCTGATCTCACAAATGGTCATGAGGCGGGCATAACTATTTTTCTCCTCAGAGAGGAGAGCACTCAGATTAAAAAGGGGTTAATTACCGTGGATGCCAAGCCATTGGCAAGAGGCCATCTCCCTTTATAGGTCGGCTTCCATTCCTCTGTACATACCTACTCCCTGGATGGTGTATGGCCCTGCACAGTGCACAAAAGGACTGGATTCCTAGGTGTCTTTCACTTACCTACTGTAAATTCAGGATCGATGCCCTTCTTTAACCTTCCTCTCCATAGCAGTGAGGGCTTGTCCCCCCTCCATTCTACCCTAAACTCACCTGTCACCCAGTGGGTCCGTCTTGCTTGCCTCACCCAGTCAGTCCCTGACTCTACAATGAACTCACCTACTACCCCATGGGTCTTACTTGCATTTTACTTGTATTTTGTTGCTTGACTAATGACCTCTGCCTCTTAGACACCCCCTCAACTTAGTGAGTTTTCTCATGATCCACCCAGCTGCTCACCAGGTAATGCTGGCTCCTATTCCTTCTCTACCAAGTAGATCAGTTCCCTGTGACCCCATAAATAGCTCCCATTCTTATGGCCCTCTTTGTTTCTTGACCTGGGTCTCAATAGCAACCTTGGTCAATGTCTTCTTCTTCTGGACTTAGCTCATTTTCTCCTCGTCCTGTAGGAACAACAACAACAACAACAAAAAGAGATGCAAAGATGCTTTCAAAGATACATGTTTCCTTAGCTCCTCCCCATAGGATGGACTTCCGGGCACCTCTTCATGGCCATTCCTAACCATGTCTCCAGTCCCATTAATCACCATGATGTTCTCCAGATGCAGGACCCCATGTTGTGTCTTTCTGAAGGCGCGTTAAAATTGTCACTTACCATACAACCATCTGGGTTCCTCTGATCACACCCTCCCTCTTTCATCTCTCCACCACGTTGGGCACTTTTTGTAACTCCTCAACCATGTTAGCCTGTGAACTGTGATGGTACCATCTCCCAGGAGGCTGAATTTGATTCCCTGCCTTTCTGTTCCACACCCATAGCTTTGACCTTGCTTTCTCAAGGCAGAGCAGTTCTATCTTGTCTCAGTGGCTGTTCCTCTCTCTTTCAAACTGTAGCACTCTCCTGTCCCTGCCGTCCACTCAGCCTGAGACTTAAGGATGCACTGTATTGGCCAAGGCCACAGGTGGGAATTCTAGCCCTATTTACATGCTGTCTCCAAAAGAATTACTATATTAGCTCTGCCTGTGCCCTGGGTCACCCCACCTCTCTTCCATGAGTCTCTTCACTGGCCTTTTCATTCCAGAAGTTCTACTCTCTCACGATCTCCATCACTCCCTTTGGGAATGTCAGATATTTCCTCCTGAAGGCCCAGTCCTGTCCCCTAACTCCAGGGGGACGTTTTGATTGATTCTACCATTACTTTCCAGACAGGCAAGTGTTCAAATGCTCCAGGCTGGTTCGATGCCCTGCCAGAGGGATGTTATCAGAAAACTCACTCACAGAAGTTAGCTCTCTAACTATGAGGAAATGGCCCAGATGTGGAGAGGTGCAACAGCATGGTCAGAAGTTCTAGTAAGACTAGACACCTGACACTGGTTAGATGGCATCCTGTGTGATAACTGACAGGTGCTTTCAGGGTCATTTTCAACATTTTCGGGTGTGTCACAGAGAATGAATGGGCCATACACAGTTGTGTTAGCTTCTAATGAGGGCACCACTTGTACCTTATACCTTCGTTTCCTTCTACTATTCCAGGAGATGTGATAATACGTCGGCATACCACACAGATTGCTGCATTTTACCGTGATCTCCTAGCCAAGTCGCTGTATAGTCGTTTGTTTGGTTTTCTGATAAACACCGTGAACTGCTGCCTCCAGAATCAAGATGAATATAGAAGGTAGGAGTCCCAGATGCTGTGCCTATGTTACAGTCCCAGATGCTTGTTGCCTATGTTACAGTTGCAGGTGCTTGTCCCTATGTCACAGTTGGAGATGCTGTGCCTATGTTACAGTGGCAGATGCTTGTGCCTGTTACAGTTGCAGGTGCTGTGCCTATGTTACAGTCACAGATGCTGTGCCTATGTTACAGTTGCAGATGCTTGTGCCTGTGTTACAGTCACAGATGCTTGTGCCTATGTTACAGTTGCAGATGCTGTGCCTATGTTACAGTCATAGATGCTTGTGCCTATGTTACAGTTGGAAATACTTGTGCCTGCATTACAGTCACAGATGCTTGTGCCTATGTTACCCTGCCACACACAACTCAGGAGCTGTGGGTACTGAGCCCTTAGTTACCCCTGTCACATGCAACTCCAGGACTGTGGGTACTAAGACCATAGTTGCCCCTGCCACACACAACTCAGGGACTATGGACCCATTGACCCCAGTGTTACCCAGACTGTCACACACAACTCAG